AATGCCCTCGAGGCGGAGTCAGAGTCTCATGTGAATCGGTTGGCCCGGGAATTGACGGCACTACGACAGGCGCAGAATGGCAACACTTCTGACGGCAGTGTGGGTGCCTCGCCGGAAACAGGGATTGGGCTTCGTTCGTTCATGAATGGCGGCAGTGCTGGTGATCCAAACCTTGAGACCTTGCTGGAAGCCTTGCGCAGGGAAAATGAACAATTGCGAAACAAGCTTGTCGACACGGAGAGGGATTACATTCGCATATCAAGGCTTAACGAGGTGTACAGAGAGGAACTTATTGAGCATAGGCGTCGTGTATGTCGCTTTCCTGATATGTTCCAAGTCGCTGTAACCACAATACCAATACTGATTGGCTTTTGACAGCTGGGGATATCCGTTGACAATCTTATAGGCCTTGCCTCCGCCGACCCCTATTCTCAACCTACGCACCGACGGTCTTCATCGTCGTCCTTCACGAATGGGTCATCGCCTGCAACATCAGTGCTGCATGTTCCGACCCAGACGGGAGTACGTCCAATACATGCTGTTCCGATTCCTCGGCCATCGTCACGTATCCATCGACCGGTCAATCTGACTTCCGAGGGCAATACACCGTTCTCACATTCCCCAGGGTCGTCCTCCGAGTCGCCCTTTCCTTTCTCACCCACCACCAACTCAGGCAGCTTTACGAGCCCCAATACGAATATCACAAGCCCGCCTTCATCCTTTTCGTTCAATTCAAACGTTGGGACGGGCGCCTCCTTCCACCCCCGTACCCTTACATACCCATCCGTACCCCCGCCCTCTCTGTCTTCCTCATTTGGTTCACCGACGGTGCCGTTCAATATATCTAATGGGGAATACTCCCCGATCGAGCCATCAAGCCGGCGAAACTCAGATGTCGACTGGCGCGTGTCGGGATCAGAGAGCCGAAGGAACAGCGTGGAACGGGGCGCGAGGGTGGCGGAAACGGGTACATTGGTGCCACGTAGTCGCAGAAGCAGCGTTGCACCGACGTCTGTCGCTATTAATGGACCTACTGACTCGTAAGCAGGTTCGGGCTCGAAGATGAATTCTTCTTGTCGAAATTGGAATCGAAAACCAGAGCAAAGACAGTACTGTACCATATTAATATTGGATTAGACTATGTAGACTATGTAGTAGCTTGATGAGGTCCAGAATATGTACAAAGACCAAGTTTAGTGAACTAGTGGTCGCGCGTTTACTGGGATCACGTGGACCGACGAATCCCGACGAATTGCTGTGCAGGGACCCCAGCGAACTGCTATTTTCGGGGTCTTGCCCGCCTCATGGCCATTGTTTGACGAATTCGGACGCGCCGCGATGACTCGTCGACCCGCCCTATAAATCAGACCGTGATGGACAACAGCTAAGTGGCTTTTCTTTATGTCGTACCTATACGACCAGTACTCTGGAGAAGACCTTTCCAATGCAACAACCTCGCTTACTTTTCCTGCTTGGGAGACAACGGAAAATAAACAAGAGCAAGTTCAGGCTCATGACCAACAACAGCAACAGCAACATCTTCAACAAAAACAGCATCCACACTCGCCTGATCAACCATCCCCGCCACCACTACTCACACCACAAGATTCAACACTGCAGCTTGAAGATGCGCCACGGCGCATGCCCTCTCTGCCTCTTTCTGCCTTCGATGACACTCCAATACACCTCCATCGCGTTCCTCAGAGGCATGAGCATGAGGTTCGCCGTGAGAGCTTGAGGCAACTTGGGCATCGTCCCCACGTCGAGACGCGATCAAGCGCGGTGTCCACCTCAACAGTCGGCCCCACTAGACAGACGCGCTCTTCACATATAATTCAACAGCAGCAGGCACATCCGTATGGCAAGCGTCCGCCTAGTGCTATGAGTTCAGCGCCACCGTCCCGCCAGCAGCACATGACCAGATTTTCAAGTGTGCAGCCGTCAGCGCAAGCGTCTTCGTTAATGCAGGCATCTTCTTCAAGAGTGCACTCTCCTGTTGTTCCAATGACAGCAATGCCATCACCAATTATACCATCGCCAGCGAGCGCTACCAGTCGTCTCGCCAGTTATGGCTCCGCAATCGGGTATGTCGCTCTTCAACGTTTTTCGAAGCGCTAAATGAATCTCTTCAGGTCGCCGGTCGATACTACGCTTGCTATGCCATCAAGAGACAGAGGAGACCGTGAGCCGCGCCGCAAGTGGATGCTCCGCTCAGACGCTTGGTACGATCCCGAGGCTAAGAAACTCAGAGTCATGCTGGAAGTTCCAGGCGTAAGCAAAGCCGACGTCAGAGTGACGCTCTCGACGTGCTCCTGGAACCGTGTTAAGCAGATCACTGTGTCTGGTGTCTCGCGGCCTGTGTTCCCGCCGCTGTCTGCAGCAGAGTCCGCAGACGGGATGATGCTAGAGCTTACTACCACAAGAGAGCGGAGGTTCGGCGAGTTCGCGAGGACGTTCGCTGTTCCCGTCGAAACCAACGTGCGCTTTTCTCTGGCGCGTCTGTTCGAGTCTGAGTTTTTAATCGTTTCTTCTTTTTTGTTTCTGCTCCCTCTTAGCGTGAAGATGTCGAAGCGTCAATGGAGAATGGTATCCTCTATATCAACGTTCCGTGCGGTATACCTGTGGCACCCGATGTAGAAGATGTGCCTATTCAGTAAACTGAGATGTAATAAAACTTCCTCAAGCTCAAGATCAACGACCAGAGATACCGACCTTCAAGACCGAAACTGTAGATTGCCCCTTTCGCCACCCCTCCCCTCTTGTATCTATTACCTAACCAAGATTCCCTCCGTATCTATACGTATACAAGTCAGTTAAACTTTCTTGGACTCGAGCACCAGTATACCTCCACTCCATTGATCGGATGTCCATAGGGGTCCGTTTTGCTGGCACATATACCTTGCCCTTATATAATCGTATTATCATAGCTTGACTCCATAGTACCAATTTTTACCGTTCATTTCTTGAAGTAATTCTAGCGTGAACGATGAGACCGAAAAGAACAGAAACGAAGCAACATGGAAAAAGTAGGAAACTAAACTGTTCGCCTGCTCGGCAAACGAATGGCACGTGGGACGATCATGCCACGAAAGTCTGCCTCTCCGCAGAACAGTGTCCCCCAACCTTCGAATCATTTTCTGGCCTCAAGGCCACTTTCTATATCTCTTTCTTCATGGTCGACGATAAATACATCGGTATTGCTCTCGCTGTATCTGGCTCCGTCTTAATCGGCACAAGTTTTATCATCACCAAAAAGGTCGCCACTATGTCCGGTACCTTTGTTGGTTGAGCTCATCTATTCTTTTCAATAGGGCCTAAATGACACTGCGAGACGGAACGCACAATATGGTGCTCAATCTGCGACGGACAACTTGTCATATTTGAAAAATCCGATCTGGTGGGCAGGACTGTCAACTAGTATGTGACTTAGTCGTTCCATTTGATATGTCAATGCTGATGTTGTACTCTCTTCAGTGGTTATTGGGGAAGGTATGTTTGCCTTTGGTATCGTTGGAGTAGATGATCTAATGGAGCCTTGGAGTTGCAAATTTCGCTGCGTATGCTTTTGCCCCACCAATACTTGTGACGCCATTAGGAGCGCTCAGTGTATTGATTGGGTACGTTACTTCCGTATGTATCTCCTGGTATTCAGCTGACCCTTCGAGTCTAGTGCGGTCCTTGCTTCTTTCTTCCTCAGCGAGGAACTTGGACATCTTGGACGGCTAGGATGCACGTTGTGTTTCATCGGTTCTCTCATCATCGTTCTGCATGCACCAGAGGATAAGGATATACAAACGGTGGATGAGTATCTAATATATGTTTTGCGACCAGGTGCGTTGCCATCTTCTCCATTTCCTTCCTTTATTGAACTAGGAATGTTCGATGAAGGATTCCTATTGTACTGTCTAACCGTTCTGGTGTTCACTCTCGTCATGATATATGCAATTGCGCCCAAATACGGCCGGTCCAATCCACTTATCTATATCTCCATCTGCTCTCTTGTTGGTTCGGTATCCGTCATGGCCATCAAAGGCTTTGGTGTCGCGGTGAAGCTCACCTTTGGCGGCAAAAACCAGTTCACGCATCCGAGTACATATGTGCTGGGAATATTCGTCGTGCTATGTATCCTCGTACAGATGAACTACTTCAACAAGGCACTCGACATTTTCTCGACAAATGTGTAAGTCTATTGGCCTGCGGCCATCTCATGACTGATTTCAATACAGCGTAAATCCAATGTACTTTGTTGGCTTCACATCGGCCACTATCACGGCTTCCCTCATCCTCTTCCAAGGCTTTAACACCACCGGCGCCACGAATACAGTATCCCTTCTCTGCGGATTTTCGGTCACCTACCTCGGTGTACACATACTCAACCTGTCTCGAACGACTGAACCGGCTCTCGGAGAACACTCAACGCTCGAAGGCGGTCTCATGAACCCTCGGCTAAGCTTACAAGGCCGCTTGTCGCTTGACGGATGGAACGGCGACGCCCGCGTTGGTGCACCGCCACGGGGGCCATCCCGCCGGGGTTCACATTTCCGCAACCAATCCGCGACGCTTTTTAATGCGTTCGACGAGCACGAAGGCCCATCAGAGGCGGTGGGGCTGGAGCAGCTAAGGGAAGAGCAGTCGGATGATGAGTATGATGAGAGTGCTGATGAACGGACACGACTAAAGAGAGATGAGTCGAAACAGCAACTGAATGGGAACGGCAGGCAGAGCGGGTCTCGTAGCCAGAGCCACTCGCCCATTCCAAGTCGTCCGGCCTCGACAGATGCCCGGATAGCACTGCCATGATGATGATTGTGGTTATAACATGATCATAGATACCCACACCCCGCAGGGATGGACTTACAATACGACTCGCGGTTAATTAGCTAGACAAGAATTGTATTCCTTGGTTGTCGTAATGCATGGGAACCGCGGAGCCTAATGCTCTCCTTAGCATGGCTCGTGTCGGGAGAGGTTTGAAAGCTGTGAGAACTGTTGAAAAAGTTTGGTTCAATCCAGGATCGAACTGGAGACCTTCTGTGACCACTACTCGAATGGCATATTGCAATGTGAGACAGAAATCATAACCACTAGACCATTGAACCAGTCGTTTTTGTTTTTTTCAACTCGCACAAGGCCTCACCAGCACACGATCAAACACCCTGCAACCAACATTGAATCGCGTTAACAAGCTTAAGGGAGTACAAAATCCGTGTAAGTCTGCTTAAATTATCCTGGGTCGACGCCATCTTCTGTGGTACGAAGTTTCATGCCCGCATTCGTTCTTACCGCCTCCGCCAGTGTTGATCGATACGTATACGCGGAGGTACAGCAAACGCGAAGGATTTCCAACTCTGCCATGGTCAAGAGCATTGATCTTAGGCATTGTCTTGACGATGTGAAAACTTGCAAGAACGTCTTAAGCTCGAAGTCGTCTCTCTACGAGGTTGTATCATGATGGAGCGAAAAATGATTTATCCCGGCAGCGGGCCGGTTCATTCGGCTCATGTTATTCCGTCATGTGTGTCGTTCGCGATACCTCTTCCTTTCCCGCCCACCTCGCAGATTCCACGGCAAATCAAGTCTGACCACGATGACAGCAGTAATGAGCGGAGCGGTCAACACAACGGACCGGCTGGCTGCGCTACGCCAGCTCATGGCTCAGAAGGAGCACAGCGTCCAAGCCTACGTAGTTCCCAGCGAGGACCAACGTGAGTATGGACTGATAAGGCCATATAATATGTAGAATCGATGATTTCCTTACAGATTCTAGCGAGTACCTTGCGGATTGCGACCAGAGGCGGGCATTCGTCTCTGGATTTAGCGGATCTGCTGGTAAGTCTTTGTATCTTTATGGTCGTCCTTACTCCTACTTACATTCGGACGAAGGATGTGCCGTCATCACGCCCAAAGAAGCTTTCATGTTTACGGATGGCCGGTACTTCTTGCAGGCAGCGAAGGAAATGGATCAGTCAGTCATCTGATACTTTCTATGTGGTCGCTCATTGTAAGGTGCGCAGAAATTGGACGTTGATGAAGCAAGGTCTGCCAGGTTAGTTAATTGGCCATGGTCCCCATTATACAGTATTGCTGATTAGATACAGACGTTCCCACTTGGCAAGAGTTTCTTTCGAAGGTAGGTATCTTAGAAGAACGTTGCGAAGTCGACCTAAATCCATTTCTCTATTAGAACCTCGAACCTTCGACGCGGATAGGCATTGACCCTACGCTCATATCTGCATGTGAGGAAGTCGTGTTATTGCCTTTATGTCCCCTATGTAATGTCGCAACAGCGAACGCCGAGACCATTATAAAGGCTCTGGAACCCAAGAATTCGACATTGGTTCCTATCAACAAGAATCTTGTCGATCTTGTCTGGAACGACCGCCCTGACCGGCCTCATAATCCAATCATCCATCTCGATGAGAAGTATGCTGGTCAATCGCTCGGTCACAAAATCAGGGCACTCAGGGAGGAAATGGCAAAGAAGAAGCACCAAGCCTTCGTCGTTAACATGCTCGATGAAATCGCGTGGTTGTTCAATCTCCGCGGCTCCGATATTGAATACAATCCCGGTAAGAGCTACCTTGATGCTACGAAATGGTTGGACTAACGTCCAAGTGCAGTGTTCTTTGCCTATGCCGTCATCACAGCTGACTCTGTCAACTTGTTCGTCGAGAAAACTCAGCTCAGTGATGACGCTCTCAAACACCTCGGAGATGATATCAAGATCCAACCATACGACGCATTCTTCGACTACCTTCAGGAGCTCCCATCCGTCCTGACGCTTGATGAAGAAGCAGTACGTCTCCTGAGTATCAGATAGACTCCATATTAACAGATCATAGAAAGTCCTTATTGGTGAAAATGCTAGTCTCGCAGTCGCTCAGGCTCTAGGCAAGGTGAGTATTAGCGAGATTTGGAGGTTAACAAGATTCTCATTTTTCGTCAGGACAAATACGTCATTGGGCCCTCTCCTGTCGCCGAGTTGAAAGCCATCAAGAATGCGACTGAGTTGGAAGGTTTCCGTCAGTCACATATTCGCGATGGCGCTGCGTTGGCACGGTACTTTTCCTGGCTTGAGGAGCAGCTCAACAATGGTGTTGAGATCAATGAGAGCCAGGGTGCGGATAAATTGGAGGCATTCAGATCGTGAGTGTCATTAATCTTAAAAACGACTAATCAAAGCCTGACAGTTTGTTTGCAGGGAATTAAGCCTGTTCCGTGGTCTCTCGTTTGATACGATCTCGTCAACTGGGCCTAACGCAGGTAGGGTCATAATGAGACTTTCGTTTTCTCGCCCTGATATCGTGGCACATTCTCAGCTATTATCCACTACAAACCTGACCCAGCGGACTGTGCAATCATCAAGAAAGATCAGGTATAATTCCATCTGAATTACTGTCTTGCCATCTAAACCACTATACCAGATATACCTCTGTGATTCAGGAGGCAAGTAAATGCATTGATGTCTTACTATGAGAGCCTCATACTCTCCGTAGCCCAATTTTTTGACGGTACTACGGATGTGACGAGAACCTGGCATTTCGGCACTCCGACAGACGAGGAAAAGCGGGCATTCACTCGAGTCCTCCAGGGACACATTGCAATTGATACAGCGATATTCCCCGCAGGGACCACAGGTTGGTCACTCTATATCCTCAGTGCCAAAATCCTTTAGTGACTTGTATCAGGCTATATAATGTACTTTCCCCGTTAAGCTTCGGGGACATTGACTGATCCTCCTGCCAGTGACTCGTGGGCCCGCAGAGCCCTGTGGCAAGACGGACTTGGTATGTTTCTGTTCCTTGACGGCTTCATGCCCGTGGCTGACGATCACTTTCAGACTATCGGTATGTCAGTCGGTTTGCTTGCCAGTAACTGGATATTAACGGCTGACCAGTCACGGCACTGGCCATGGTGTAGGGCACTACCTCAACGTCCATGAAGGTCCCCATGGTCTCGGTGTACGGATAGGTGAAATAACTTAACGTGATGCCCGTGAGGAATCGCTCACAGTATTTTCAGCGTACAACAGCACACCTCTCAAAGCAGGCATGACCGTCTCCAACGAGCCGGGCTACTATGCCGATGGCCGCTTTGGCATCCGTATAGAAAGCATTGTCCTCGTGCGTGATGCCAAGACCCCCAACAACTTTGGGGATAAGGGTTATCTCGGCTTCGAAGTTGTCACTATGTCAGTATTGATCTCTATCACTCCGCATTCAACGCTTTACCCACATATTCTTCAGGTGCCCCATTTCTAAGAAACTCATTGATACGAGCTTGCTTACTGTGGACGAGCGGAAGTGGTTGGATGCCTATCACGCTCAGACATGGGAGAAAGTATCGCCACTTCTCCAGAATGATGAAAAGGCTTTGAAATGGTTGGAAAGGGAAACATCTCCTCTTTAAACAGATCTACATAGGAAGGGGCATTCATTGCAGCTTGTTTAAATTGAAATGTCAGCGAAGCTTGGGCGATGATCACTTGCAAGGAGTCCGGTGTCAGAAAGGGATGTCTCTATGTTATAGCCCTGCGCCCTCCTAATTCTCAATCAGTACCAGCTCAGAAGACGACGGTGATAACCTGCCATTTGCCGTTGCTTCCGCCAAAGATGAAGTCAATCCTTGTCCATTGGCTAGTATCATTTGGAGCAGTGAACCCAGTGAACGTCGCAAAATTTGTAGATATATTGCGTCGTGGTGCCTGTCCACGTAAATCGAGCATAGTGAAGTCAGGCAGTTGGTCATCGTCGACGTGGTATTTGGCTGCAAACGTAGCGTTGATCGCAACTGGGGGTGTAACACCAGTGATGATGTTGTATGCCCCCGAGTCTGAGCCCATGGCAGGGCTAATGTTCACTATGAGCCGACGTAAAAAGAATTCACGGTCTGTCAACTATACCTATTGAAATCACCCGTGATGAAGACTGGGTTGTTTGTGTTTACAGCCTCGAAACGAGCTCTAGTTAGAAGCATAGATGCACCAAGCCTTCGTTGAGCGTCAGATTGATCGTCAAGATGAGTATTGAGCAGTGTGAATTTCTTTTCTCTACCGGTGCTGGATATGGTAGAGAAATGTGCAGCAGTGCAGATACGAATCGAGCCTGCACCAGGAAATTTTGAGGGCTCAAAGGGTGTGTTCCTACCAAACGAGGTATGCAGAGGTGATCTCGGGTGGTTTGGCCACTTACGATAACCAAAATGAATCATTCGAAAGAAGCTTTACTTTGGTACTGAGAGAGAAGGTAAGGGGCCACGGATGAGATCTGTCAGGTAGAAACACAATACTTCTTGAAAAAAATTGGACTGAATTCACCAGCAGCAACACCATCGTCACGGCCGACGCCGATCTATGAGATGTATGAGTTTATCTTGCTCTTTGATTTTTCTTTGTAACTAACCCAGGACCATTCTGGTCCAAACAAGTCAGCCAGGTCCTGGACTTGTCTGACCAAGGCCTCCTGAAAGCCTAAGCGACGAATGTCATTATTCTAGGGACTGCCGCGCATTTTTTAATTCAGACTACTTGCTCGCTAGTGAGATCCCAGAACTGAGAAGTTGCTCTGCAACCTGAATGCGCCTTGTACTCCAAGGTTGTTCCGTGGTCAAAGCCAGGAATGTAGGCTGCAAAAGTGGATCCTGAAGCGATTCCAGAGACTGCTCTACAGTAATATTGTTGGGCATAGAGTCAAAGCGAAGGTTCCAAGTGACAATACGCATAGCTACAGTGGAATATGTAGCTATGCATAGGATCTGCAGGCAGCCGAGCACGATTAGTAGCTTCATGAGAAAGGAGAAGGTTAGAACAAACGTGTTAGTGAAAGCCTATATGTGAAGCAAGCGACGAACGTTCAATCACATTCTCAGGTTAAGGTGAGAATGGAAACAGCAGGAATAGTTTTGAAAAAATCGTTCTACGCGATTTGGTTGGTTGGTTGGCATTACCGGCGCGGTCCCCGTGCGAACAGCCGAGATCCGTACTACATAATACATTGGTCGCGTCACGTATGCTACAGTCGTCGTTCCCTACCAAGTGGTACGAGAACCACTGCTACATCCATTTCTTCCCGGCCAGAAGCGAATCTTGACATCAAGCTTC